TGGCTGTTGTGACGATCAACTGCTTCCAGCTTATCGCCGACTCGGAAAAAATTATCCGTCGGATCTGATGGTGACTGCAAACAAAACAGAATGGTGAGCCAGAGACTATCAACACATGCATCTATGACAGACTCATGCTTTGACCCACGGAGGAGGCCTTTTTTAAGGAACAAAAATCATAGAACTAGAAACTCACTAGGTTTAGTTTTAACAAGAGATTAAACCGACTAGCGGCAAGATCTCTTGTTCAAACCAATGGATCTTACTTCAAAACTAGCTCAAACAGGATGCACACATCATTTAAGCCCCACGAAGAGCTAGCATGTGTCAAAACTTCAGCAATAAGAAGCACCAGCCGTGTCAGTCGCAACTACGAGGCAAGTTGATCATCCATCTGGATTGGCTTGAACCCAAATATGCAGAGCGAGTCATGAGCATCCTGATTTGACCAGATAAACTGGAGCAGTACAGCCATTCTGTGGAAAATATCAATCGCTGAAATTTCCGTCCTCTTCAGCACTCTTGTCTCCGACGAGAGATAAAATGATGGAACACGTATTTTAGAAAGAAACACAACACAAAAACCGCGGTCACATCAGCTGTTTTGTTTTTTAAGACGCTCGCTTTTCATAGTAAGCTCTCCTGTGGCTATTGAAGTTGTGGAATTTTCAACATTCGTTTCGCTGGTTTCCTTAGAAAGAAACACAACACAAAAACCGCGGTCACATCAGCTGATTTGTTTTTTAAGACGCTCGCTTTTCATAGTAAGCTCTCCTGTGGCTATTGAAGTTGTGGAATTTTCAACATTCGTGTCGCTCGGTTTCCTTATGTGAGCATTCAGCGGAAACATTATGGACAAGAAAATCGGTTTTCAAACTTATTCATCATTATTCTCTCGCGACTATATGAAGCTCATTTCGCTCGCACAATCACCCTAGTCTACAACCGAACATTGAGAACAATATGCCATCTAAACGGATATACAAAACACGCAGACCGTTTTGATTGTAGCTTCACGCCCTGCCGAGTTACGAAAGAAAACCACGGGCAGAGAATAATACACTGTGTTAAACTGATAATCAAGAATGAAGCTGCTCCACTCGAACAGGTCTATATTTGCTTTTTTTCATCGTGATCTCTTTAGAGGGCAATTTCAAAAAATCCACAATACGTCTCCACTGGAAGTGAGTTTACTACCAAAATGCGTTATAGGGAGGCGAATGAAATTGGTCACCTTTCGGAGACATTATACAAAAGATTAGCCGTACACTTTTGTTTACAAATGATTGCGCAGGTAGGTGAAAATTTCGTCCCAGTATAAGCGAAACCTGCGGACTAAGAAACCGATGGTAATCCGTTTCTGATATCACATCACCATTAACGACAGTATAACACTAATGCTTTGCTGCTGTATTGTGCGACAGTTTCTGATGGTCTATGGGCATGAAGTCGGGTGGAATCAGAGTATGAAGGTATGAGTATGAGAGTATGAGTATCAGAAGGGTGCACAAAACACCTATCTTATTCGGACGGTGAGCCCAGCTGTAGAGCCCTTTCGAAAGCTAGACGCCACGCCACCCGAAGGAAGCATCAGGGCCAAGATAGTGTCGGGTTGCCCAAGCCTAAACAGGAGCAGTCGAGATGCAGAGGTCGGGTTCGAATCACGCACCTTTCGGTCAGTAAGTTCACACCTTGACCAGTGGGTAAGACCGTGTGTGGTCGGATACCAGAGTGCATTGATACCGTCCGCAACCAGGTAAGCTATGAGTCTTATTACCAGTGCTGTTTTCGGTGTAATGCGTTTTCCCAACCCGATTTCAGTTTGCCAACCAGCAATCGTACGAAAGAGACTATTTTTCGTCACTTCGGCTATGTTTCAGTTTGTAAAGGTTTACAGAAAGGAGAGGGAATCAATTAAAACCCGGCTTCAGAATGCACTATATTATATTTAAGTGCAAGTATAGTAGTCTAATTGTGCAACCTGAACAGCCTGAGCCAGAGCCGGTGCTGAAAAGAAAGTAGATTCCCCCATACTTTCATGTTTTATCGATTGAAAACTGACCTAGGGAGTGCCGAGCGTGTGTTGATGGCACAAAGCCGCATAGACAAAGGTGGTTAACGTACGTACAACCATCTAGTAACCACGTTGTATACGTGCCAGATACATTTCTATTCATCCGTTGCCACAACTCTAGAAAGGCCCAGATATAAACCAGCCGCAGAGAGTAAGAGTGCAAATGAATTGTGTATCTCGGAATCGGGTCACCTCATAGATTGGCATAGAAGAAGCAACAAAAGGAGTACGCGTGTTTAGGTGTGCTGCTACCGTCAACACAATTCAGAGGGTAGAACAGTTTCGTGACACAGATGTGGTCAGTCCATCCAGCTTTTAATGGATGCTGTATCCAGTAGGTTAACTTAACCCGAATCACAAACCGAACTCGTTTAATCCACCAAACCGTCTTGCTACACGATATTATTTTATCAGAACAGTCAAAAGATACAGGTTGCAAGATGTCGACACTTCAAATTAGTCTCACCAGTCACAGACGTTACACATTCAACCTGCACAGCTATCGGACATTGTAACAACAATTTATTACATCAAACGACACGTTGCTTTGAGAAAGGGGGTAGTTAGGCTTTAGTCCCACAATAGTCGGATGACTAGATCAGTGTTCTGTACACAATGTGGAGTGCTATCTAGATTGCTTCACAGAAAGCCAGCAGTTCTGGGTTTCACTTGCGTAGCAGGATGGTGACAAAATGAACAGGGTCAACCAGGTAGCCTGCGTCAGAGACATTGGCAGTCGATTGATTGATTTGGCGGTTAATGGTAGTGCCTGGTTGCGTCTCAAAAACGGTAGCAATCTATGTCCCGAGATCATCTGAGAAAGACGTCGACTGGTTCTGTCGTCATGTGTGTTAGCGTCACTGAAAATGACTCCGTGGAAAGCTTTGGAGATGGGATGATCAAACAAGCCTCGGAACATATTTTGAGACAGTCCTTCGGGGTGTGGATACCAGATGCAACTGACCTGCTCTGTGAGTGCGGTTAAAAACGGACTGGATATTCCGATAGCAGCAGCCTGGTTGAAGTATACTTTGTGATACATCTTCACACCAGGAGTAAAAGTGGTGGTTGAATGCGCCAAAAACTTCATCTAACATTACCTTCTATAAGAGGAATATTGGACTGGGAAAAATTAAAACTGGTATGACTGTGGAAAGAAGCGCGGTGTATAAACTGGAGGGAAGATTTACAGCTAACCTCAAACGACAAAGCCGTGCAAGTCCCACATGGGAAGAAAACTACAGGAGTGGAGATATTGTTTGGGTTTACGTTAATCGCGCGAAAAATCCACCAGAGAAACTATGATGAGAGATAGGAAGTATCCTTTACCCCGAGTCACAATATCGGCAACGCTAGTTTCTTCTTGAAGGTCAATTTTACACTCGATAGTCCGTTTTTAGTGCTACATTCCGATAATCGACTTGGTGAAATATTTCGCGCGATCGGGTCAACACACATAACAATGAAGGTGTCTTATCCCGGGAGATACAGGATATTGGGTCGCAACAAGACATTAGTCCTTTGAATGTTATTTAAACACCAGAAAGTGCTACATCCTGTCTGTAAGAACAAACCTACGACGGAAAGAATCTGGAGCAAAATTTACTCATATTGATAACATGAGTGCCAAAGCAGACCTACGTACAAGCCCATTCAATTAAGTGGCGTATCTTAAACACTATGCATCCCGAAAAAAAAATAGTAAATGAATGCTGATCATACAAAAGTAACCTATTTCGGTACGAATATATAAGCTGGGTTACATTGTATGACAACTAACAAGGAAACGCTTAAAGGAAACTACTTTTAGGATTGCTAGAAATTTCTCGACAGCCCATGGTCGGTTTCGCCCTCTTGGGGGTTCAAGTAGAACACCTGTGCAATAGCCGCTTCGATATGTCAGAGAAAGTTCGCCTGTGAGTGTCCACTCGGCTATCCTTCACCGACCTGACCTGTGGCTGATTGGATGCGTGTCCGATTGGTTGGCACGCCTGCGTGCTCATCCTTCAATATATCTGAGATCTGTCTGTGCGATGTCTGGACAGATGACTCAGACGTTTGCCTACCCGTCACAAGGCGGACCTGTTTGGCTGCGTGTGCTCAAGACAGCCATTTCCTTACCTACGCGTTTGGCGCTCAGTGTTCGCACAATGGAATTGAATTTTCGAAAGTTATGACGCGGCCCTGATGGACTGAAGCAATCGGGCAGTTGAGTTGAGATTACTAGTCCAAACTTTCAATCCTTATTTAGGCATCCCGGGGTCTCAGCGATGCTGGGAAATTATCCCACAAGACTTTTCAGCCAGAGGCCTGATTGCTTCAGTGAACAATGAAATTTGGTGAGCTGCAAAAATATGAGCATAGATTAGGACGGTTTTTGGTTTAAGCACATACGCAAAAGAAGGCAACATTTTGGCGTAGAAAGTTTTACTCCACTTGCAAAGGTTTTGCAGCTGAGAGCATTGTACGGATAACGGGCACTTACGTGTTTCCTGACTTACTTTGAACCTACAATAGTAGTTGCCGGAAACTTTGGGACTGCACATGCCTGATGAACCCCAAGCCGATCGTAGGCTGTCGAAGAGTTTTCAGCAACCTTATGAGTGGTCCCCCTGAAGAAAACATACTGCGATACCTCGAATACCCTACTAACTATGATATAGGGCGGCCTCTGTGCAGCACATGAAGCTGAGGCATATCACAACAGAGAGATTCAGCTGGCCTACTGGTAAAACCAAATTCGTGTCAACATGACTGTACTTCCGTTAAATAATTTTTTTCTTGTTAGACGATACTGTTGTTGATCAATAACCGCCGCCTTAAGAAAGTACCTTTACGGTGCTATTATTCAACAGATCTTGAGTTACAAGGGAATCACTGTACAGATCTTGTGGTCTTGATTAAGCATGTCCGAATGGCATCACCTACAGCTCGTTCTCTGGATCAAAATGGAACAATCACACTTCGAAATATTCAACTATTTAGCTTAGTTTGTAATTACAGGCTTTCCAAAAGCCTAGGGTTTGGACATTGTTGGAATAAAGATCCGAAGCTGATGCTGTCCAAACAGTGTGCATCCCTTCGCATGTGAGGTCTCTCAAGATCATTGGTTGGACAACACAGCATAAGCTTGTAAGAACCAGCTTAGGTTGAACTGGTTTAATAAGCCCGCAGGTGAATAGACAGATTGGAAAGCTTAACAATTAGAAAAACTGTAGTTGGGGTCAAAATCAGGTCAAGTTGGACTGAAAAAAAACGACAAGTAGCGATGCCCCCGTAATGACCTGAAGATCATAACACTCTATAAGCTAGAATCTGCTAAAGCACTCATAGAAGCTACCTGCATTTAGCGCCTTAACAACTGCACCATGCTCATGCACGGTGAACTGAAATTCTACGAGACAAACACGGGTGTGGTTCATTTTAATGTATGTTTGTGTGTATTTGTATGTTTGCTCGTATACGGAATTGGATTGGGAGTCCACGCAGATATGGAGACCGAAATACGGACACTGAGCTATTCGGGTGTTTTCGAAAGGAGTAGGAGAATCAAAGCCAACAAGATGTTTCGCCACAAGTGACGTCAGACAGCAGACGAGTGAAGCAATAAACACTAAACAAGGATGCACAGCAGGAGTATTGGGAACAGACAGTCAACCATCTAAGTACAACCTGTGACAATAGTACCCTGACACTGAAAGCAACGTATGCCACAAGTTTCATTGGGAACTTAAATAGTAATTACACTGTACTCGGGGTCCTGAGAAGGACGCAGACTATTTATTCAAACAGTGGCTAGAAAGTCGTTTCAAACGTTCCTGATTCCGATTGGCTGATGCGCAAGACTGAAATGAATGACATAAACGAACAACCAGGATACCAACACGGATAATGTGTGTCATTACTCACTTCGACGAACCAGGAGGGATCGGCAAACTTTGCACCCTCTGTGGCGCTCTTCAGTGTACGACTCCAATTCAGATGGTTATACATATAGCCGAACGGCGGCTGGAGTGGTTCACCCGAAGGATATGGTCTAATTTGATCAGAGTCCACCAGAAACCAGCAATCATTGCGATCGTCCGTACCGATAAGCCGAATTCGTAAACGTGGACCCCAAACTTCGACCACCTGGGCCAAACTGAAAGCGGCTGCTCGAAAGCGGCGCAGCGTCCCCACCGGGTTTGCTGCAAGACTTGAGCGTCGGTTAGCACCGGAGCCAACCCCAGTAGAACCAGTTGTGGAAGATTTGAAACTATCAGGTGTGAATGGGGATGTCGTCTGAACATCGTGAGCAGCGCTCCGTTGATCCTCAGCTTCCAAAAGAGCATTCACTTCGAAGAGATTTTGTGGCGGTATGCGAGACTATCAGAACAGATAATCAGGAAGAAATGCAAGTTGGTGGGTCACATTAACTCCAGGCAATTAACAGTATATGTGGCGAGTGATATGTAACAGGACATAATCCCAAGCACCCAGACCACAATGAGAGAACCGGTCATATTTAAGAGTGTAGGTATGCACACAACAAGAGGAGCAAGTGTAAAATATTACAGATGATTACTTGAACTTGGTTGACTCATGCCTCTTCGTCAATGAAACCATAGTGGAGTTTGGGTCACAGAAAGAGTCTCTAAAAGAGGACCACAAGAAATAGGTTGGCCTACCTCATCTGCCCTCAGTTCAACACATCCAGCTCGCTAGTAGAAGTGTACAACAACTTGAAACACAAAACACAAATGACAGCACTTGAATAAGTTTGTTCAACAAAGCAACCGACCAAATCAAGGACGAATGACAGGGAAAACAAGTTGAACGGACCTAAGCTTTATTTATTCTACAGCATAAACAACTTAACGATTTCTGTAGGTCACCTATGGGACCTGCACTAAGCCAACTCAAACACTGAAAAATGCTGCTAAAAGTTGCAGCTACCGTATGGTGTACTAAACTGATACAACTATACACAAAGAGTCACGTTATTCGTGACGAGGATAAAGTGTCGCATCGGAATGGTATAGCTGAAACTGACCCATATTCTCTTGCGTGACGTTACGGAAACTACTGTGATTTGCTTCACAACTTTTTATTCATTATGAAGTCCCTCCAAATATAGCTACTTTGATACGCAAGTTTGATGGGAACAGAAAGCCAGAAACTAGTATCGGAGTCGTCCAACTACATAAACATTGCCTGCTGGGTCAGGTAAATCCTCTCTCAAAAAGACCACGTGGGTCAGTCCCCGGGAGCGGCTTTTGCCCAAAAACTATATTAACCACGATACATTCATTGGACGTAAATACCACAACGCATAACCAACGCGTTAGGAACTGTCAATGGTGATGGTACGTAACAGTCTGTGGCTGCTTGGAGTGACTAGGAAATAGAGTGGGTACCTGGTTCAGTGGATCTACAAAGTAATCATGAACTGGTCCCCTAGGCCAGTTTCAAAACTCCGCTCTGAGTTGAATATGCAAAGATTGATTCGACTGGGGTAAGAGAGCAAGATGGATAAGAGGTTTTGATTGATAGCAGCAGCATCGAATACAGACTGACAGGAACTATTGAGATTCTAACGATGCCAAAACTACTGATTGGTAAAAACAGGTCTGCCGTGGGTGCAATACTGTCGTTTTGCTTCCCCAATTTTGTGTGCGGATATTTCTGTCGTGGCGAGTAACATAACTAAGGGCGGAAGACTAGCCCAACAAGTTCCTGAAACGGTATTGTGAGAGGACTGCAGAGATAATTAAATAAGAACCGTAGTCACTCAAAATCAACCGTGATGACAGAGGGATGACGGATTTTTTTTAGATCAGTGTGTGTGTGTGTGCACCACTTGTGCCAACTTCGGAGTTAACTGTCGCGGGAATGTGATGAATGTGACTGCATGGTTTTGTTGCATGAGGTGGGTGTGCACTGAGTATATGGAATGGCATTCTACATTCATTGAAAATAACGCGATGGACCTGAATACAACGAAAACAGGTCCTGTGATCACACACTAAGAGTTCAGAATTGCTGATGACGATGGATCTTACGCAGCAATCATAAAGGCAACCCAGTGTTACTCTTCAAAACTATATTTTAAAAAATGGTCCAGCTGTAAGATCCTTTCGGCGCCTGGCTGCATGCCACCCGGAGGAAGCAAGAGGGTCAGGAAACAGCCAGGTTGCCGAAGCAGTCGGGATGCAGAGGTTGTGACCTTCCGGTCAGTAAGTTCGTGCCTTAACCAGGGCTATCTCGAGCTCGAAAGAATATCGATCTACCAATTACGCGGCTTCGTATAAAAAGAAGAAAAACATTTAAATGACAAGTAT